TAACGTCAATGCACACGCTAGAGCCGACTATTGGCTGAGTAAACACACTTTCCCTCACAAACAAGGTGTTTCAAGTTAAAAGACGCCTTCTGAGGACCACATTATCATTCTTTAATAAAAACAGCTGACAATCTAGTCACGGGACTGGCCAGTAAACGACAAGATGGAAACTCCTTGCTTACCAAATGCTTTCGTGGTATTTAATTTAAGCATGTAAATTCGCTTAAAGGATCAGCCCCCCAACTGTCTACAGCAAAACAGAGAGCTTGGGTGGTAATGCTAAATTGGAACTAAGAAGTGAAGGAATATTTGCATGCTTCATTCTGGTGTACTTTTTGGGATGAAATCAGGGCACACCTATGATAAAAACACAACTCTAGCTTCCTTTTGCTATGAATTATAGATATAAATAAGCCACCAGCCTACAGAGTCATAATCACCAATAGAGAACTAAATGCTTTAGTCTTAAAAGCCCTTCTCTCTTCTGATGGGGCATCAAGATACTAACATAGTAATAATTTCAATATTCACTTCCAGAGTGCAGTCATCTTCCTTCTCTCATATAACAGGGGACTAACAAGAACAAAACGGCAAAAAGAAAAAGTTTGCAAAAAAGTAAAAGAAAAATTGTTTCAAGAGGACATGGGGAAGGCAAGAGGGCATTAAGGAGAATTTCCTTTGGAATGAGTATTTTTATGTATTTTACTTTAATAACATAAGGGCCAAGCATTGCTCACAGAATCTGGACACACCTTCATAAACTTTAAGGATGCTGGAGAACCTACAGAAAAGCGGAAACAGATCTTCAAAGAGTCAATGAGAACAAAACAGTCACAAGAACACACAAACTTTAATTTCGGACATGGTCACCCTAAACAATTTGCAACAATTCAGGGTTTACAAGGCTCCCTTTCGCCGCCCAGACTGTCAAGTGAACACTGAAAACAATCTTCTTATGAGTTCTTGACGACTGGTTCACTGTGGAGCACGCGTTTTTCATACCACAGTCAAGGAACTGGGATTCGCTCCCAAATCTGGCCTGTGACTTCTGGATAAAATGATAGTAAGGAACCAAAAAATGTCTTAAGATGTATTTACTTCTGAAATAACTTAGTTTGGGAAACATCCATATTCTTAGTGAAAGAATTACTTGGAAAGTTTAAAACTTTTAAAAAACAAAATCAGTTCAACAACTGTCAAAATAAAATGACTATAAAACTAACTACAATCCCATGCACTGAGAAACACACTTCAGGTGAGCTCGGCTCATGGAAGCTTCTCGGTCTTCCAAACTGAACACAGCTCAGAGGCCTAGCTCTACCTATGTTAAAAGCAAAGACACAAAAGTGTTCCTTGAAATCACAGTGGGTGAGTAGGGGACAGGAAGGTGTATAATTGACCCTTCCTATAGAAGGGTCAATTTCTAAGACCTAGTCGGGCTATTCAGACAAGAAAACTGAGGCCCCAGCAAGATGAATGACTCAAGGACATCCTTCTGCTGTGAGAGCTGCCAGGCTGCCAGGTGTTAGCAGTGAGCTGGCAGGCAGCAACCGACAACTACCAACACAGTCTTTCTTCCCTTGCTATCTTAAGAGAAGTCCTCCAAATTTCCAGGTGAGCAAGAAGTCAGGCAAGCTGAACGCTCTTTGCAGGCCTGGGCCCACTTTCGGTTTCACCCATTTCAGCGAACACATTTGGGGTTAACTTCAGAGAGGCCCCAGTCCTGTTTAAGTGAGGTGCTAACAAAGGGAGGCGCAGTATTCTGAATGAGCCCCGCTCTGGTCCACTCACAGCCTAAGGAAGGGCAGTCAGAAGATGCCCTACACGCACAAACCCGTTCACAGAGTGGACGGCCTGCAGAGCCAGCCATGTGAGGTATCGAGGTATCAATATACAGGTCAGTTTACTCCAATAGCTCACGCCTACAAAGTACGGAATGTGAATGTCCCAACAGCTCATCTGGCCTGAGTCTAGGTTTCTGAGATAACTGTTAAAAAAAAAAAAAAAAAAAAGACCTCCAAACTTGCATTTGGACCAGTCTCCTCTTCCAATGAAACATATATCAACCTCAGGCCTTTTTCTCAAGATCAAATTTCCTCTACTTCTATCTGATCAAAGACAAATTCGTTTCTAAAAACCTCAAACTTAATGTGCTGACTAAAAGAAATTCAAACCCTACATAATCAAAACAGTAATAGCTCTAATTACACATTCACAAGCTTTGATTAAAAAAAAACAACAACAAAAAGAAAAGGATAAGCAATGAATTTACCAATCAGCATGAATCATACCCCATTTTGCTTGGGCTTTTACATTCTTTAATATTAAGTCTTGCACTCAAGTGTGCATTTTGTGGCGCCGTGGGTCCCACGCAGGGTCTTGCACCCGCTGCTGAGCTACACCCACAGCCCACACCTAAGTGTTTTGTGCATCTCAATTCACAGCAGCTTCTTTAAAGAGAAGTAGGGGACCACATCAACAAAGCTTCTTAAATAGAACAAGCCCCGAGGAAAGAAGGCACTTTGAAAGATTGAGCAGTGATACTCGGGTCACCCAGCTTCAGAGTGACATCGCCACATGAACCGTGGCTTGCCAAGTATTCTCGGGGCCAGCTTCTGGGTGACTTCTAGGAAGAATACAATCATCACTGGTCACTCTGACTTTCCAGGAGCTACTGTCAGCTCCCAAACAGAAGATGCTCTCCTGCTGCTGTCTATTTCTCAAAACGCCAGAGCTGGTTTTTATCAAGGGCGTTACATGTTTTCATCTGCACACTGGGTCGGCCTTCAGCTGTCCGGAAAGCAGTAAGGCACAGTCCTGTGTGAGGGTGAAAAATCGTGCCGTCTTCTTTAAAAAGCCAAATGATGTTGACCGGAGTAGGGAGACCATCCTTGGGGCAGTTTTGCATCCCTACGTGAGTCTTTTGTTCGGGGACCTCCGCACATAATTCAGTCACAGAATTAAATCGGATTTCTTTGTTGGAAGTGTATTCGAAGAATTGATTGCCTCCTTGACCGTGGCATCCAAACAAGGAAAGGTTAGCACCTGTCGGGTTGCTGTCGGGAGCATTATAGTCTAAGCACTCGGAAGAGATGCCCATGCTGCGAATAGCTCCGTGCCAGCCAGGTCTATCCTCAGGGACGTGTAAGTTAGAAAACACATTTTTCAAATACCAGTCGAAGCTCTGGCATTTCAGCCGCTCCCTCAGCAGCTTCCTTTCAGAAATATCGCCATAGGCCTCTTTCCGAGCTGGAGGGTTTCGGTTATAGAAATGCTCTTTGTATTCGTCCATCCAGACTTCAGCAGCCCTCGCCGTATTCTGCAGGAAATTGGGGCGAGCATATGGCGCCCGCTTGGGGAACACGTGGCCCACATGAGAACATGGGTGGATCTCCAGTTTGCCGCCGCACTGCCAAACCCGGAAAGACAGCTCAAGGTTTTCCCCTCCCCATACTTCCATGCCCGTGTCGTAGGTTCCCAGGTACTGAAAATACTTCTTGCTCACAGCAAACAGGCCTCCTGCCATGGTGGGTGACCGGATGGGGTCAATTCTTGATGTTCGCCTGTCCCGTTCATGTTTGGGGACAGAATGCCACTGAAATGTTAGGCGCCAGTCAAACCCACCGATCATGGGCTCCCCAGTCTGCATGTAGAATTCAAAAGTATTCCAATCGATAGTATCAATAACAGGGCATACGATTGCTGTTTCATCGTTACTAATTCTTTCTAAAAGTGGCTCCAACCAACCAGTGTTACACTCACAGTGGCAATCCAGGAACGTGAGTACATCCCCAGTGGCAAAAGTGGCCCCAATGAGGCGGGCCCGGACCAGCCCCTCTCTCTTATTCGTTCTAATCAGGCGCACTCTATCGAGATTACTGATGTAAGTTTCGAGTTGCGACTTCAAATAAACTCTGTCACTCAAGTCATCGACCAAGATGATCTCCTTCAAGAGTACCGCAGGTGACGTTTCTAGAACGCTGTGAATGGTTCGAAGCAGAGTGGACCAGGCTTCGTTGTAGAAGGCGATGATAACGGAGGTGGTGGGAAGCGACCTGTAGTGGAACGTCTTGGCTTTACACTCGGGCATTCTTTTATCCTCTATGTGGCGGTGCAGGGAGATCCTGTCACTGACGTAAATATTAATGGCATATCTCTCAATGAGTTCTTCTTGCTGTTTCAGTTCACCCTCGTTGAGCTGCAATTTGCTGGCCCTCCCCCATTCTCCAAGAGCATGGGAATCTGCAGGGGGCTTTATATAAAGAGGCTGAGACAAATCCTCTTCCCCCGTCTCAATGTCTGAGCGCCGCCTTGGCCCCAGCTCCTTGGCATGGCCGGCTTCTGGGGAGGCATACAAAGTGGAGACGGAGAACTCCACCAGGATATAAGCCAGTGTTAAAAACGCCAGCAGCAGGCAGCTCTTGCCTGCCCAGGTCCACCTCACGGCCATCCGGATCCTCATGGGTCGTGCGTAGACGCGGCCACCCAGCCAGCACGCGGGGGAAGAGCTGCGGACCCAGTAGCTGGAGTTCCCGGCTCAGGTAGGGGCGACCTTCCAACCACGTCCCTCCTTTCATGTAGGCGCTGGGCTCCTTCCAGAACACCGGAGTTTCCCGGGGGTCACTTGAGACCCCCGCCCCCTTGCTTCTCGGCCTCCGGTGCAGCTCAACTGGTCGGTCCCCACTTCCTCCTGCTCGTCTCAGAACTTTTTCACAAACTCTCCAGCCAATACTCCACCCTCCCCAGGCCGATCACAAACCCCTCCCCTTCCCACTCACTCCTCCTGGTGGTTAGTTCGCGAAAGTTGCCTGTCAGGCCCAGACCGGCCGCACCGGGACTGAGCAGAGGCCAGAGGACCTGGAGTGGTCCCACGTTCCCCGTAGCGCCTGGCTCCCTCAGTCAGAGACCAACGAGAAGGAAAGAAAGGGTTTCTGCTAAGTGATCATTGCTTACCGTCACAAAAAGAAAGGAAAAGGAAAAAAAAAAAAAAGACGACTTACCAAGTTGTTTGCTGTTGGGGCTGAAGTCCACGGAAGTGATCGCAGCTTTGTGGCCTTTAAAATAACGTTCCAGAATCGGGTCCTCCTAGGATGGAAAGTTGGCAAGTTTTGAAAGCAGGTGCAGAATTCGAACTCTCGGGATCAGAGGCCAGCGTTGCCGGTCCCCCGAGGCTGGAGAGAACCCCGCCTCATCGGTGGACATCGAGGGAAGCGCGGGCATCACCTCCGGGGGTGACAGGTACGGGAACTGCCCGTGCCCCCCGCCGGAGGAGCCCCCAGCCCAGGCTCCGGAGCGTGCAGCCTAGGGACCCGCCCCGGCTCGGGGGGCCGTGCCGCCGGTGCACGGCGCAGGTTCCCGCGCCCTTTAAACCTCCCAGACGATTCTGACGCAGGCGTGGCGCGGAAGGCGGCCGGGAAGTCGGGGGTCCGAGCTCCGGGAGCCCGGGAGCAGCGCTCACCGCCCTGTCTGGGCACGGAGCTCCCGGTGCCGGGCGCCGTGCGAGCGATAGGCCGAGCTCCCGGGCCGGGGGTCCCCCCCACCTGGCCCCGCTGCCATGGGGTCGGCTCGGACAGCCGGCGGGGGCCTTACCCGGACGGAGGCCATGCGGGGAACTGGCAGCTCTGGGGCCTGAGGGAGCCAGGGAGGGACGGGGACAAGGGGGGGGACCGTGCGGCGCCCGGAACCGTCAGCTCCGAGCGCCGGCGCCTCCCGGTCACTACAACAACGGCGGCCCAATCAAAGCCCGCGCTCCAGGCGTGGCCAGACGAGCCCCGAGACGCTGGCCACGCGGGGGACAGCGGACGGCTCGGCGGGAGCGCGCCGGTGCGGGGTCAAGCGCTCGCACATAGCGGAGCCCGCGTGCATCCGAGGTAGCGGACCCTCGGGTTGGTGCGCGGGAGGACCGGGGAGAAGCTTGGGGCGAAATGAGATCTGTGGGGGGCGAGGCGGATGTGAGCCTGTGATCGACGCCATCAGAGTTCCATTACACCTTAAAGAGACCGCGCCCCAAGCGCGCCAACGGATCCGCTACACCTTGTGAAGACCGGAGAGAGATACTGGGAGGTTCAGGCATGCTAGTTTCTGTAACAGTGCATTCAGAGGAGCTAAGTACCTGGCGGAAAACCTGGTTTGGTTTAATTGCAGGCTTTTTTGTTGTTTGTTTGGTTTTGCACGTGGTGTAGATCCAAATACCGGCGGCACATGATGAATGAACACTACTACACCACAAGGTTACTATCAGGGTTTACACTGCAGGCTTTCTTACACATCTGTGCTTCGGCAGCATGAGGTTGGTAAAGCTACAAAATGTTGTCGGTGGCAGTTTATAAAAGGGAGGTCACATCAAAGGCTGTGACACCAAACGACGACGGCAAACCCTGCCCTGAAGCATAAAGGACTTATCTGAAAATTATATATGAAACTGAGATTCTTGGCAACAAAATGTCATGATACCTCGCAAGATACATGTTCCATGTAAATGAAAGATGTCTTAATTACAGGTTTTCTAACGGGCTGTATTGTGACTGCATTTAGTCTTAACCACTATGTAGCAATTAAGTAGGTAGAGAAAGTCTGCAATACAGTATTAGTTTAACACATGGGTGGGTGGTTGTTAAATATCTTTTGTATGTTTGACCCCAAGGGCTACAAAAAAAAAAAAAAAGACAAAAGGGGCAAAAACTCCGAAAAGGCCAAAATATTTTCCCCGCCTTCAAGAACTTGCCATTCTTGGGATGGTCTGTAGCTCGGTTGCAGAGTGCTTGCCTAGCATGAACAACAACAACAACAAAAAACCCTCACCTCTACTGCCTGTACCACACCAACCCAATGTGGCACTGGGAAGTTGGAGGCAGGAGGATCAGAAGTCCAAGGTCATCCTTGGCTACGTTGGAGTTTCTGCCAGCCTGGGATACATGGATACTCAGAAATCATGGCGATTACTCAGAAATCAAACAATTTACTTATGATCTGGCAAAACGGGGGCCAAACATCTGTATTCACCAACATTCATAGCAGCATTATACAAAGCAGCCTAAAGCTAGAAACAACTAAGTATCCTACAGATTAATCGGTATTTATACGTAAAAGGAATATTATTTGGCCATAAAAACAAATACAATTTGGTGCGCGCTACTAGTTGCAAGGAAGCGAATAAACTAGAAATAAATAAGATCACGTTGTGTGATTAAGTTTGCATTAGATAGCAAAATAAGTAGATGCTTATTTCTTGTATATTTGATTACAGTAAAATGCTCTGATGTTAGAAACAGGAGAAACCAAGATTTCAGGGTCTCTCATAGCTATGTCTGATTTGGGACACAGTAGATCAACGGGAAGAATGTTGGAGAGATTAACTCGAAAGAAAAGAAGACACGAGTATAAGGTTTTTCTAAATTGTTTGAGTACTATTTTTGGAATCATCAGTTTGTCACAAGTAAGCGTGTTTTTTTTTTTTTTTAATAAGCAAACCAGAAGGCCGGGAGACGAAGCAAGTTATGAAAGCATATGTCTCACTGTAAACCTTCGCTATATCTATAGTAGATATTCCACAGCTACTTTAGTTCCTTTTGTATCAGTCATCCATTGCTGTCATAATGCTGTGTAACAACTATAACAGTCAGTGGCATACTAAAGTGGACTGATCTTTAGTTCATGAATAGACAAGACGTACTTTAAATAGATGAAGAGATAGGCCCTAGTGTTGGCATACAAAACAGTCCCACAGTAGCTTGGAATGGCATATAACAAATGCCAATTTGGAGGGGGGGATAAACTCATAGCAAGGGTAGCGATCCACAGTCCTCTGCATGCGCTGGGAACTGGAACCGAATCCAGCAGCCAAGAGGGCCGCGCATGGGTTTTATCCGCGTTTATATATAGTACATGAGACCACGTCAAAAGTGGGTCGGTATCTTAAACACTAAAGGAGTTCCCACAACACCCTAGGGCATAGCCTGCTATTGTTACTTTCATAAATATTCATGCTGTGCAATTACCTGCTAAGCATATATGCTTATACAGGTAGGCCTGGGCTACTCTGAACACTGGCTAGAGAATCTGCCTTTTGCAGTTGACAGCAGTCAACCCAGAGACCTATAACTGGGCAGAGTGCCGAGAATAAGAGTCTGAGGACAGCTCTGTCACACCCCACCCCGACCCCAGAGTTCAGGAGCCGGAGGATAAGGATGGGGAGTGCCGTGAAATGCTACCTTCTGGCCATGGCATGGCTCGTGCCCATGCATACCTGTGTAGGATCAAGCTGGCCGGAGTTCTAGCATAGATGTGGGTGGTATTCTCCAGACCCCACCCCCAAACCGAGGCTCTCTAGGCAGTTGGTAGCCACTGGGGAAGGGAGGATGATTCTTCTCTGAGAGCATGGCCACTATCTGGTTTCCCATGCTCCCATCGACGCCCCTCCCCATCCATCACATTGGTCCGTTTCCACTGGACACAGTGGATCATTTATACAGATGTGAAGTTGAGAGAGGGACTTATTGGGAGGGCTATAGGAGAAGTTGGAGGGGAAAATGGGAGGTGGGTTTGTTCTATTGCATAATGGTATGATTTTCCTTACAGAGTAAAAATGTAATAAAAACATTGTCTCATCCGAAGTTGGCCTTACAACCTTTGACATATTCCTAGAAATAAAACGATACAAGATTGTCACATCCTATGATGTGCTCGCTACAGATAGATGCTCTTCCAAGTCCCTGCTTACACTTCGACATTAGCCATCATCGTAATCCTGCTAGAGTCCTGTGTTTCCACCTGAAGTACAAAGATATTGTTTCTAGCCCAAGGCACACGGATCAGAAAAGGGAGAGCTAAATTATTTTAGGCATTCAGCGATCCTCTTCTAACCGCAAAATCCTGATATCTCTTGTATGATTGTAAGTTTTTGTTTTGTTTTGTTTTGTTTTTATTATTATTTTTGTCTGCCTCACTGCATAGCCCATGTTGGCCTCAAACTCCAGATTCCTTAGCTCCTGTCTCCCAAATGCTGGGCTGTCACCTATAAACCGTCGTGCTTGGCCTCACTATTGCATGCTTATTGTAAATACACAAAAGGTTGTGTCCTGTGAGGCTCGTGTAGTGGCTCAGACTGTGAAGGTCCTTGCTGCCAGGCTTGAGAACCTAAACGGAAGGCAGGAACCAGTGTCCGCATGAGCTTCCATGCCAAGCACATCCTCCACTCCAGTAAATTTTTTTTTAAATTCCATACTAGCTGTGGTTTTAATAAGTTTGACCAAGATTAAGAAGCAAAATCTCATGAACGTACATCCCACAGCTCTGATCTATTGCTCTAAGCTGTCCCTCCTGTAGCCTTTTCCATGTTTCTTTTCCCTCTCCCTACTCTTCCCGCCAGCAGCTGAAGCTCATAGGTAGACACCAGGCAAACAGCCAAAGCCGAGGGAGTATTTCTGATCTCAAACCTGCATGAGTTTGTTTGTGGCCCACTTCCCACAGTGATTATTTTGCACTTCACAAAATGTCAGATTTAGCATGGAAGTAGCCACAGTTGGGGTGGATCAATATTTGTAAACCTACAAGGCTTCGTGGGAGACTGCATACTAGGTAGGGCAAAGCGGCCTTTCGTTGGCTCTCATTTTCTAGATCTCCCTCTGACTAGATAATGAATGTGACTGCCCGAGCCCTATAAAGGCGTGTGTGTGTGTGTGTGTGTGTGTGTGTGTGTGTGTGTGTGAGAGAGAGAGAGAGAGAGAGAGAGAGAGAGAGAGAGAGAGAGAGAGAGGCTTAGGTTAGTGGTGTTCCACTTTGGGAGTTTAGGCACTTAAGTGCCACCTGCTGTTCACATTACTGTATGGCACTTGCATTAAACAGCTGTTTATAGGCAATGGCACTGCCTTCTTGATACAAGTGCTCCCAGACTGTGGGAACCTGCATAGACAGGAAAAACATGAGCTAAATGCCAATCGTTAAAGCATTACACACACTTGGAAGGCTGTGACTGATTTATTTCAATCAACATTTAGTCTCTAAATCTCACCAATTAGAGCCTCATCAGTATTCCTAGCTTCCTGTTTTCTGTTTCTCTGGTTCCTGCCACAGAGATGGCGACAGGCTCTGGAATTTTGTTTTCTTTCTCTATTTCCTAGAGAATTTTCATAATCTTGATGTGCTTTCTGACTTCAAGGCTTTCTCTGTCTACCTTGTTCACTGGTAACAGATACGTCAGGGCTGCTTTCTAAAGGTATGGGTTCCTAAGCCCCGCCTCCCCATTAGAGGTTTTGGTATAGGAAGTCTGGTGTGAACCCCAGGAATTTACATGTTGTCAAGCAAGCTTCTTGGGCAATTATAAGTTGCATTGGCCATTTGGGAATTCTGTGCATAGTGGGGTGTCGGCCTTTAAAAATACCTCAAACCAAGTCCCCTTTCCCTTATCTAATCACATATACTCTAAGGCTAGCACATAAGCCATTGCAACCCGCTACATACAACCAGACTCTGCAGGCGTTGCGAGGACTTTCCTGAAGCTGAAAAATGCCCGTTCCACTCTTTCCAACCTGCACACGAAGAGACCAACACCAGGACCCAGAAAGATGTGTTTATGTGAAATGATCCCGATAATACGTAACCTTTCCCCCACTTCTGCTGCACCCCCTTACTGTGTTATCTACAGTTCCACTTGGCATGGTTTGTGCTGTTGCATTATGTCTGTATCATGCTGTGTGTCTGCCAGCCGCCACTGTAGTGAGGAGCCAGGAAAGACAGAGCTGTGCTGCTCCGTGTTTGGTATTATTCTGCAGCGTCTCAGCCCCTGGAAGACACCACTTAGAGAAGTAGGGATGCATTCCATGAAATGATTACTGGGAAACCAGCCAGTATGAAATTAAAGCATGCAAAGCTATCAACAGTCCCTAGTAATCACAGGAAAGATGCAAGCATCGATGTGGTGACCATATCGTCGTTTTGCAGCCTTGGGTATACGTAAGACATTAGACTGGCTGGCCTCGGGGGGTGTTCTTCGACAAGATTTTCCTGGAGAAGGGGATTTTCAATAATCATTTAAAAAGTTGTGCTTGACAAGGATTATAGCATGAGAAAATGGGGCATGACTACTGATGAGAAAGGAACTTCATTTAAGGGCAACGAAATGCTCTGGAACTCGTGACTAATAAATATGCTAAAATACTTAGTGAGTTTTAAACTCTTCTTCCGATCCTGCCCCCTCACGGGTTTATTTTTGTAGCTCTGACTGTCCTGGACTCATTCTGTAGACCAGGCTGGTCTCAAATCAGAGACCTGCCTGCTTCTGCCTCCAGAGTGTGGGGGCCAAAGGCATGCACCACCCCACCCAGATTAGAATCTTCTTAACAATCTGTTTGCAACAGATTTTCGGAATTCTACCCAGAGTTTAAAGTTCAGTAGGTCTCGAATAAGGCAGCCAGCATTTTGTCCTTCTACCAGTGCCAATCCCCAGATGGAATGCCTGTGCCACAGGTGATTCTTCCAGTGCAAACCAGTGGGCTAAACAGAAAGCAGGGGTAAGAGAAACATAGAATAGCATTTGCCAGGACCAGGAGAAGGGGGAAGGAGGACAACTTAATGGGCACGGAGTTTCATTTTGTGGATGAGAAACCATTCTGTAGGTGAGTGGTGGGGTTTGTGCAGTATGGCTATACTTCTATGTCACCGGAATATCATCACATATTTGGTTGAAAATGCTGTGTGTCTCTTAACTACCATAAAAAGGAAGAGGGCTGGAGAGATGGTCCAGTGGTTCAAAGCATCGCAGAGGACCGGGGTTCAGTTCCCAGCACTCCTGTAGTGGTTTACAACCATCTGTAACTCCAATCCCAGGGGATCCAGTGCCTTCTTGTGGTCTTTGTAGGCACCAGGCATACACGTGGTATGCAGAAATACCCGCATACAACACAATCAATGGGATGCTGAAAGAGCAGACACGATTAAGGTGCTGTTCGCAGGATGAACTTCATTACAGTTGTTGAGAACAGAGGAATGAGGGAGTCTGTCCCGCTGGAGACAGGGTAGGAGAAGGGTAAAGAAAAGAGAGAAAATAACAATAGAGACACATTTGTGCATGTGTGAACAGAAATGGAGCCGGGGCCCTAATTCTTGATTGCTGTCCTTGGTACTGAACCAATTACCCCGCTCCGTAAATGGTCTCACCTTTCCAGATAAATCAGTAACTCCTCCATAAGGCGCATGGTTTCAATATTAAAACACCTTACCAAAGACATTGTAGCATTTTAGTATCTCAGAAACAAGAGAGTTGTATTTTACTTAACCAATTTTGCCTAATTTTTATTTTTACATTTTTTTGTTAATGTGTGCACATGGGTGTATGTGTGTGTCTGTCTGTGTGCATGTGTGTGAGAGTGAAAATAACCTGCGGGAATTAGTTCTCTCCCTTGTGGTTTCCAGGGATCAAACCCAGGTTATCAGGCTTGGCTGCGAGTGCCTTTACCCTCTGAGCCATCTTGCAGAACCCACTTAAGTGTGTGTGTGTGTGTGTGTGTGTGTGTGTGTGTGTGAATTTAACAGTTTTAATAGGTTTCTATTTAAGGAATTCTCTCCCTTTCCCCACTTGGAAATCATGCTTGCCTTCCCCTTCCCATCCTAATTAAGACAAAGGCATTGCTAAGTCGGGAGTGAAGCATCAGTAGGACTTCCCAGATGTCTATATAAGAGATACGGGGGTGAGGATGGAACGGAGTGACTCTCAAGACACTAGGAAGTCACTCCTCAAAGAGATTTCTTGAAACAGCGTCTTTACTTTGGCCTCATATCCCAGGAGGCTTTGGTCCTCTGATGCCTGTCTCCGGAATCACTGCGCGCAGGTCCCGTAGCTTTCATCCTCACACCTTGGCTAAATGTAGTGCCTCCTCATTCTCCCTCATTCTACACTTCTATTTTTATTCCAAAGCTTGTGCCTTCTGGCTTAAAAAAAAATACAGATAAGTAACTTTTCACCAAAGAAGGTACACAAATGGCCAACAGGCACATGAGACAACTCCCGTCTTAGCCACTAGGGAGATGTAAATGGAAACCACAATGAGATACTGCACCCCCCCACACACAAACACAAACACATGATTATAGACTAAAGCTCTGAACTGTAAGCCAGTTACTGTAAAATAGTGCAGGAGCCATACCTAGGAATGGAATGTTTCGGTCCTGTGGAAGTATGTTTAATTTTTGTGCAACAGTTACAAGTCCATAGACTGTCTTTCTTAGTAACGTGTTCAAACATTAAAAGAAATGCAGACCATATAAGTAAGCACTCTTACTTCCAGGCTTCTGTTTGTGGCAACCAGACACGTACATCTACCTGGACACAGACTCTTGTTCATAGCAGCATTACTCAACAGTTGGAACAAACCAAATGTCTTTGAACTTATCAGTAGTAGACAGAATGAGACTCACACAAACAGGGGAACACTATCTGGCATTAAAAAAAAGATTAAGTACCGGTTAATGCTACATACAATAGGAGGGAAGCTTAGAAACATAGTAAGAAGCTGACAGTAATTTATGACCTCACCCATGTGGTGGTTTAAAAGAAAATGGCCCCCATAGGGTCACAGGGAGTGGCACTATTATGAAGTATGGCTTTGCTGGAGTAGGTGTGGCTTTGTTGGAGGAAGCATGTCACTGGGCATGGGCTTTGAGGTCTCAGATGCTCAAGCCAAACTAGTGGCTCACACTCCCTTCCTGCTGCCTGCAGATCCAGATGTAGAACTCTCAGCTCCTTCTCCAGCACCATGTCTGCCTATGTGTCACCAT